TGTCGACCACCCCCCCCAGGCCCTTTCCCGCCGGGCAGCTCCCAGCCGCTCTCCCCACGCCTGCAGCGGTGCCTGGGGTTGCTGTGACCCAAGCGCAGGACCCGGCCCTGAGCCTTGCTGACCCTCACCCAGTGGCCTGGGCCCATCGGCCCAGCCCGGCCAGGGCCCTTAAGGCACTTCATGATGGCGGCGCCTGTTGGCAGCTCTCCTGACTTTCCTCCTCTCTGCCTTCCTTCCAGTGATCCATTTTTTTGATGCCGTCAAAGCGGATCGCACTCGGAGCTGGCTGTACGCCGCCTGCTCGCTCTCCTATCTGGGCGCTATGGTTTCCAGCAACTCGGCCCTGCAGTTCGTCAGCTACCCGACCCAGGTGGAGCAGGGCGGCCCTGCGGGGGCGCGCGCCGCGGGGGGAGATGGCGTCGCGGGTCAGCTTAGCACCCTGGGACCCCCCACGGCCCGGGGGCCCCCCGAAGCGGTTCAGCTTAGCACCCTGGTACCCCCCAGGGCTCGGGGTCCCCCAGAAGCAGGCGCCGCACCAAGGAAGCCGGTGCTGTGGAAGAACCAGCTGGTGAAATGACGCGGAGGGAAACTGTGATTTTGGCGCTTACTTCTCTGTGACCGCTTTTGTGGGGCTGTGTCACCGGGTTTCAGGCAGCGCTGGCTGTGTGAGGGGTTAAGAGAGTTCAGGCTGTTCCAGAAAGGGAATAGAAATCCCCAGAAATTATGGGAATTTGCTAATTGGGAGTTGGTGCTCACGTTGGAGGGCTTGAGATGACTTCTGAAACCTTCACCGCTGATGAAGCAGTTGCCCTGTGGTGGGAGTTTTTGTCGTCTTTTTTTGAAGTATGGGGTGTGTTTTACTGGAGGGGCGTTCGGGGAGCTCGGACCCCGGCCCGTCACCCTCACGCTGCCACCAGCTCTCGTCGCAGGCAGGTGACGGTAGGCGGGCCGTTAATACAGTCTTTCTTTTGTAGGTCCTAGGCAAATCTTGTAAGCCCATTCCAGGTAAGCAAATTTCACGTTTCTTCTTCAATGTGTGGATTTCTCATGCCCTCAGGGAGGACCTCGGTTGTCAAACAGCGCGTCTGCCCTTCAGCCCGCTCTGCCGCGGGAAGCGCAGGCGTGGTTTTATCTGCGTGTCGCTCTGTTGGGCCAAGTTACAATCCCACGAGCGGGTTTTGGGAGCGGTTTGTGATGTTGCTTCTTTACAGTCATGCTTTTAGGAGTGACTCTGCTGCGGAAGAAGTATCCCCCGGCCAAGTATCTTTGCGTCCTCTTGATAGTCGCCGGCGTGGCCCTGTTTCTGTACAAGCCTAAAAAGGGGGCTGGGAGCGATGACCACGTCTTTGGCTATGGAGAGCTCCTCCTGGTGAGTGCCGCCAACGCAGACGTCGCCCCGGCAGGGGGAGGAGGAACAAGCCGTTACAGCACAGATAAGGCCGTGTCCTTTGTACCCCAAGCGTAGCCTGAAGCTGGTGTGGAAACGCTTCCGCAGGAGGACACCCCGGTTTGAGGGGCGCGCTCTTAAGCTGCGGCGTGAGGTCAGCGCGCGAGTACGCGCGCATCCCTCCCAGCCTGTGTTTTGAGGCCATGTGGTTGCTACTGAGCAGGTGACTGGGATGTAAAGAAAGGGGGAGAACGCTCAAGATTTTCGCCGTACAGAAGAAATAAAGAAGGAAGGTTTTCTTTGCTTTCTCTGACCTCTGTCTCTTTTCCTAGCTGCTGTCGCTGACCTTGGATGGGCTGACTGGTGTATCGCAGGACCACATGAGGGCTCACTACCAGACGGGTTCCAATCACATGATGCTGAACGTTAATCTATGGTCCACCCTGTTCCTGGGGGCCGGTAAGGAACACCGCACGAAACCCACAGCCGCCGCGCCCGGAGCCTGCCCTGCCACGCCCCGTGGGAAGAGGCGTTGTGTCCTGCTCCATAAAAGGGCCTAGAACACTTTTTGCAAATAACTTTATGTTTTGGTTTGGGGTTTTATTTTTTGTTTGTAAGAAGTCGCGGCTGTTCAGTGTCGCTCTTCTCCTGCCCGCTAGAGGACACCGCTTCACGCAGAGCGTGGCTGCCCGGCCGTGCTGGCTGCTGAGAAGTCCTCCCTGCGGGCAGCTCTGCGCTCCAGCCCGAGCCGCCTGGCTCTACCTGAGGGCTCTCTTGCGCCGGCAGAGAAGCAAACCCCATCAGTGTAGCGTTCCGCTCCAGTGAGGGAGTAGCACTTCTCATTAATCGCTAGGGTTTGTTTGGTCAGAATTGGAGCTGCAGTTAATGATTGCTTCTTTCATTGACTAGGAGGGCGATGGCTTTTTCTCCTGTTCTCTTTGTTTCCCACTGTGTGGAATTTAGTCGTAATCATAGACTCATAGGATGGCTTGGGCTGGAAGGAACCTTAAAGATCATCTCAC